TTTAAAACTTGAGAGAGTCAACTTTTCTCCTGCTTTCATTTCTATTAGTTCGGTTTTCTGTAACTCAGAAAATCAAATTACTTCACTATACTGAACCAGTCTCTTAACAGTAGCTCAATCTTTCTCTAATCCAAAATATCAGTTCCAAGCAAGTCCAGTTTTCAGTGGAGAGAGGGACATCCAGTTCGTATCAATGTTAGTACAGCATTTTAATTATCAGTCTGATAAGAAATTCATGAGGACCCCGTAAATAGGCAGACAACTTGAGGAACATACACACACAGTAACAGTGATTTAAAGTTACTGTAAAATTTATTAGTATACTAAATTTTTATGAAATCCAAACATTAGTTTCTCTTTGGCACTACAAAAATACTCTCAGAATCATGTAGCCAAGTATTTCAAAACAGAAAGTTAAAGCTGCATGAGTGAGAAGTCCAATATAACTCCAACAGGATTTCGCTGTGAGTACCTTCAAACTCTTTCTACCCATTCGTCATATTGACAGGAGAAATCCAAATAGTTAGGAACTATAGTTGTGTAACAAGTTAACTCCCAAAATCCTTAGACAGGAAAGGAAGGCTAAATGTAACCAGAATGCACATGTAATTGATCACAACTTTTAAAAATAAGCATTTTAAAGCTGAAATCATTAATCTGCCAGTCACCATCTCATGTCAGTTTCTGAATTCACCAAGTCTGCTCTATTTACATATCATAGCGCATGTAGCGCATGAGTCATAGTCCCTGAATTAATTACGTTTGACAGTTTAGACTGGTTTCAGTGAGACTTAACACCCTAGTCCAACAGCTCTTTCAGAATTATGTATCCAAATTTAGACTTAATCGGCAAATTACAGTCCTTCATCTTAAAAGTTTAGATTTCAGTTTTCCAGATAATCCAATTAATTTTAGATTGGGAGATTTGTTGGCATTTTTTAAAACTGCAGCTAGAGATAGTACTGCAGTCAGAATTGCCAAGTGAATTTGGGTGAAAATGCTACTGGATACCTCTCTGTAGATTATCTTTATTCATACAGTGTTATTCAATCTTTCCCTGTCCCCCATTCCTAGGAACATGTACCTCCGTTGTGTTTATTTTACGAGCACACAAACACAGAAAGAGAAAGAGATTTCTTTTGGCACAACTGAGTACTGATTTCTCTTATCAAAGTTTTCCCTCTGCAAAAAGCATTAGCTTGACTTTCTTTGCAGTAGGACTGGGAAAGAAGCATGCAGCCAGGTCTTAACTGGTCTGGGAAACTGTTCCATTCCTATCAATTAAATCCCATTATCAAGGAAAGCACTTGTAACAATATTTCATTCTCTTGGCTCCTTTGTTTAAGACAAGATTGCTCCAGCTGGCAGCAACAGGCAAAGTTTGGTTCCTGAATATAAACCTCTTTCCCTTGCCATTGCTTTTAGAATACTACTACTGAAAAACAACTGAGACGAAACAAGAGGAGAAAGGGAGGAAAATACTAATCGTATGTAGAAAGACAACAATGCCACATATAGGAAACATACGTGAAGAAGATGTGCCAGGCACAAGGGCAAAAGAATGAGACCCATGCCCATAATTCAAATGCTAAGCTTCATCAAGAAACACAAAATAGCATCCCTGTAAATCTCATCCTTTTTCTACAACTATTCTTAGTAGTCAGTATGTCTCCAGAACTATGCTTCCATCAACTCCTGGCAAATCTATCTCCTTCAATTCTTCGGAACATTGATGTTTTTTCAGCTCAAATAACTAATTCTAATATATCATCTGTGTTTACACAATAAGAAACCACAACTTTTTTTCTCAAGTTCTTACATAAATTGGACTGACAATGCGTAGTAAGCCTGTGAAGTTTGGAAATTCCATTTGGATCAAAAAGCTCTTTTTCAAAAAAAGAAAATACTGCCACGGGCATTACCCTGTGTCACAGCCATGTGAAATGTAGCAACACACATCCCCCTCAAAGTCCTGTGAAGCGGAACTTCAGTAGCATTAAAACATTACTTTAAACTGTGCCTTTGAACTATTCAAAGTGCTTCAGAAGAGTTGTAAATGGAGTGCGGGAATGACAAAAAAAAAACTTGAGGCAGATCACTCACTTCTCATCCACACCCTATACATGTTTTGAGAAAATTAGTTTCAGATTTCAGAAAACTCTGTACCCAAACGCCTGTTTAGATGGAGACAACTTTTCAGAGATTCTGCTCATAAAGGTACATTAGAACAGGAACCAGGAAAGTGCCAAATCTGCATTTGGGTTAGACAGCAGAAGTTTTAAATGAGAAGTTTTCAAAAAGTAAGTTCCTGTTCCACCCGCCCCTCTCTTAGAGATGAGCTGGAAAGCTTCCTTAGTTCACCCTTCAGCAACATTGAATGGTTCTCATCTTCCTGACAGCTCTGCTCATTACCTACAAGTTGCAGTTTGGGGAGGATCTGTTTAAAACCATCTCTCTTAAAGATATGTCCCTCATTCAGAGGAGCCGGTCTCAATAACAAGAGATCCGGCTCCTCTGAACAACATTAGCAGCAGCATTCAGATCAACAGAGTTGGGAGCAACAGCCTTGGGAGGTGGGAGTCATAAAAGGTCTGAAGAGGAAGGAGCCAAGGACATGGCAGATCTACAAAGAAGGAGCCTGATCTTCTTGGACTGGAATGGGAAAGTCCTGCACACTTAATGGCAAAAGAAGGGGAAAAGCCATCCCTGAGTACTTGGCTATCAGTTTTGATTCAAGAGGAAGATTTTAAGATTTTCTTACTGAAGACAGGATATTAATGGCTCTCTCTCTCTCTCTCTCTCTCTCTCTATATATATATATATATATTATTTATTTATTTATTTCGGGTACTTCTACCCCACCCTTCTCAACCCCCTAAGGGGGACTCAGGGCAACTTCCAACCGCATATATAGATAGATAGATAGATAGATAGATAGATAGATAGATAGATAGATAGATAGATCAGTAGGCATGATTTTAATTGCTGTCACTACATGTTGCCACTCTAATGCATTAAGTGCTTCCATCCTCCCATATTTAAGATGCTGGAAAGAGCATCATTCATTCATACACACACACACACAAACATATGTGGCAGGAAACAAATGGCTATAGAGAGAAAGAAAGAGAGAGAGAGAGAAAACCATTTGTTTCCTGCTATATATAATAGATCACTAGGCATGCTTTTTAATTGTTGTCACTACATGTTGACACTTTCATGAGTTGAGTGCTTCCATCCTCCCATATTTAAGAGGCTGGAAAGAGCAGGTTTTCCACACATTTTCTCCCAACTCACTCCCTGCCTGCATTTCATAAAAGTTGTGCAAACTTCAGGGGAGACTGACATTTCCCAACAGCAAATGTGCTCACTTTCGCAACCCAAAACAAAGGAACTGCCCTCTAGCCTCTGCTTATTTTCAGCCAATGAGATGCCCCCAGCCGTTGAATACCAATCCAGTAGGGCATCATGCTTTTGGGCTTCTCTGCTGAGCCCTAGTTTGTGTACACACACAGCCACACTCGGGGACAACCTTGCTTGGCCAAGCTGGCATTCATGCCCCCTCTGCTCCCTTTCCATCCTTTGGCAATGGCAGCTCCCCCGTGCCTGCTTCACTTCCCACCCCCTTCCCAGGAACAACAGCTTTTCTTCAACCAAGCCCTCAGGAAATGTGCAGATCCCTTTTCTCCCACTGTTTCTGTCGGGAGAGAACCGGTCACCTGCCTTCTCCTCCTCCTCTTCTTGATAAGGGCATCAATCCCTCAGTGCTCATTCCCATCCCGTGGGATGAAAGCTCTCTTCCTATTCTGAACTCCGGCCCTTCTTCTCCCCGAACTCACTCCTTCCCTGGTTTTGCTGAGAAGGGGAAAAGGGAGCAGCGACGGTGAGGCTCGAGCCTAAAGGCAGACCCGGGACGCTCTCCAATTTAGGGCTAAAGCCCACATAAATAAATACGCGCGCGCACACACACACACACACACACACTCCACGCCAGGTGCTTTGGGGGTCGAGGCTAGTGCAGGGCTGAGGGCAGCATCCAAAGGCCTGCCAGCAGAGCACGCTCCAGGCTCGCTCGCGCTCTCTCTCGCTCCGAGGCGCGCGCCTGGCCTGATCCGAATGCCACAAAGCCTTGGCTCCCTCCCGGGGACAGGCGGCTGACGGAAGGCTCCCTTCCGCGCGACAGAGGGCGCGTCTACACTGACCGCACCGGGATGGGAGAAAGAGGTTTCCCCGCGCGGATGATTCCGTAGGAGGAAATCCCGGAAACACTATGATGGGGAATACACAAAACCTCAGAGCCCTCAAGCACACTTTCGCACGCTTTCGTGGAAGATGTTTAAGCCTGAGCCCCGCAGCTTCCGAACTGCACTAAATGGCCAGTGTGGATGGGGCCGGAGTTGGTGGGCTTTCCCTCGCGAGAGTGGCGAACCTTGGGCCGCAAGGGGAGAATCAAGGGCCTGAATTCGGCCCTTCTCTGAGACGTGGAAGGGTCTCTCCTCTCCAGAAGGGACCCGGGAACCTCCACGAGGGACAAACGGGGCGGAGGGGGCGCGGAGAGGGTCCTCTTCCTTGCCCTTTCCTGCAGAACCAGAGCCCCGAGGAAGAAGGAAGGAAGGAGAAAGAGTTTGACGGCTTGGCTTTAAGGCGGAGGGCGAGAGGAGAGAGGTCCCCCTTTCGCCTTGAAGCCCCTGCCAGCCTTCCTCAGCCACAAGGACCGGAGGGGAAAGTGCTCATGCCCATGGGAGATGGAAGGGATGCCATGCATTTCAAGCCTGGAGAGAGAGGAGCGGTTTCGCGGGGCAGATGCTTCCCTGGGACCCGGCTTCCAGCCCGGAGGGGAGTGACACCAACCCCTGAGCGCTTGCTTTTGTGCGAGTTTGTGACCTGAGCGGCGCAGTTCGACTCCAGATTACAACTGCATCAGGTGGTGAGTGTGGGCAGAGCGGGACCAACCCCATCCCGGTGTCCCGAAGGCCTCCCCGTTCCCCGTTCCCCCGTACCTGTACCAGGCGAGCCCGCGCTCGTAGTTGCGGTCGAAGAAGTGCGGCTCGGCGCCCACGGCCCGCACGTCGGGGTGGACCCTGAGGAACTCGAGCAGCGCCCTTGTCCCGCCCTTCTTGACCCCGATGATCACGGCCTGCGGCAGCTTCTTGGTCCCGGAGCCGTTGAGGAAGCTGGAGAGGGCGTTGGAGGAGGGCCCGGCCCCGTCGAGGATGCCCTCCTCCTCGCCGCCCTCCTCCTCCTCCTCCTCGGCGGGGATCAGCGGAGGCGGAGGCGGAGGGCCCTTGGTCCGGAGCAGGAGCAGCTTGTGATGCGGCGAGGAAGAGGAGGCGGCGGGGGGTCCCGGGAGGAGGAGGGCGGAGGCCTCGGGGGCGGGCGCGCAGGAGCCGGGGTTGGCGGCGGCGCAGGAGTAGACCATGCAGAGCCACAGGGCGAGCATGGCGAAGAGCAGCAGCGGCGGCCAGAGGAGCCTCCTTCGCCCCGGTGGCGAGGCCAGGGCGCTGGGGGCATCGGGGAGGAAGAGCAGGCGGCGGCCGGTCACCGTCAGGCCCATAGGCGGGGCAGGGGCGGCGGAGGCGGCAGGCCGGCCACCATGGCTCCCGGCGCGCAACGCGGAGCGGCGGCGGCGGCGGGCTCTTCCTTCCCCTTCCTCCTCCTCCTTCTTCGCAGCAGCAGCAGCGCCACCCGCTCCGGAGCCTCGTCGGGCGCGAATGAGCCGCTCGCCGACCTCGTCCAGCCAAGCCGGAGCGCCGCGAGGGGGCGGGGAGAGAGGCGCGCCTGAGTGGCACCCCTCCGAGCCTATAAGCGCCGCCCGCAGCATGCTAATGAGCCCCCTCCTTGTATTGCTCTCAGCCAGCCAATGGCGAGGAGCCGGCAACTGCGGGAGGCCGTTAGACCTTCTCATTGGCTAATGAGCCGTGAAAGAGGCTCGCGAGGAGGAGGATGGAGGAGGAGGAAGAAAGGTGAGGCGGGACGGACGGAGCGAGCCTGAGCCCGGCAGATCCCTCGCGCTTTCCTCGCCCTTCCCTGGAGAACGGGCACGGGAAAACTTCGGCCCTCCAGGTGTTTTGGACTCCAACCCCCACAATTCGGAATTGTGGGAGTTGGAGTCCAAAACACCTGGAGGGCCGAAGTTTTGCCCATGCCTGCTGCAGAATGGACGCAGTTTGACGGCACTTGAACCGCTCTTGTTCCACTCTGGGAGTTGTCCTTTGGGGAGACAGGCACCAGCACCCTTGGGCCTTGTGCAGTCCCCAGGATTCTCTCGCCCTGAGCCGTGGCAGGGAAAGCGGCGTCCAACTACATCCAATCCCCAGTCTAGAGATGCCCGGGCTTGGCTGCCCGTGGTCCTGCGCCCCCTCCTGGCTGCTGTGCCTCCCCGCCTGAGGCCTCCCCCTTGACCCCAGGCAGCCCGCCACAGAGAGAGAGAGAGACCCTTTGGGCCGGCAGAAAGAGCGCACGGGTGGGAAAGGGCACGGAGATCCGTGGCTGGCAGTTAGTGGAGGCGCCCACTCCTGCTCCTTGGGCTTCAGGGACGACAAGCCCAACAACATCTTGGGAGCGTTACGCTGTTTCCTTCGGGAGCGCTGTTTGCGCAACGCAGCAGACCGGAACATAGATATTATAGAAGGATTGTAAGAGTTCTTTAATGGTAAAACCCTAACTCTAACCCCTAACCCTTAAGGTAAAGGTAAAGGTTGTCCCCTGACATTAAGTCCAGTCGTGTCCGACTCTGGGGTGTGGTGCTCATCTCCATTTCTAAGCCAAAGAGCCGGCGTTGTCCGTAGACACCTCCAAGGTCATGTGGCCGGCATGACTGCATGGTGCGCTTCCTGCCGGAGCAGTACCTATTAATCTACTGCTAGGTTGGCAGATGCTGGAGCTGACAGCGGAAGCTCTTGCCGCTCCCGGTTCCGAACCTGCGACCTTTGGTCAACAAGTTCAGCATCTCAGCGCTTTAACCCACTGCGCCACTGGGGGCTCCATCCTAACCCTAACCATAACCCTTATCCTAAGCCTCCCCTCCTTCCTATCCTTCCACCAAATGCAACTATGAAGTATCTTCCCGCCCTCCTCAGTGTACCGCTCTCCCCTTCCCTTATTCACAACCGCCGTTGCGGAATGTGCGTGACGCTCGGCGCTTCCGGACCCAGCGATCATACTATCATCAACCTTTTCCCCCCAAAGTTTCAGGCGGATCAGGGTTCCTGTTGAGGATATCGCCTTAAGTATCAATTATGTCGGAATTACAAAAACCGGAGCTCCTCCGAAGCCGGCGTGAAGGAAAGCGGCTCCTTGTTCATCCCGGCTGCGGAGGAGGCGTCCCTGGCTCGTCTCCTGCGAAGCCAGTGTCCTCCCTCCTCGCGGAGCTTCTCGGCGCCTCTGCTTCCACGGATCCCTCTCAGCCATTGCCTTAGCTACACTGACCATGTCATGCAGTTTCAAAGCGGCGTGGAAGACAGTGGCTCCGCTGTGCCGGTGAGGACATAGAGGAACTCTTGGAACCAGTTTGAAACTCCAGGCGCATGAAGGGCCGGCTCCCTTTCATACACTTTTGGGGGAGCTTGATTCCAAGCAGCCGCAGTTTGATGCTAGCTATGAACTGCGCTAAACGGCCAGTGTAGATGGGGCCTGAGTCTCCTCCCTCCCCCAAACAGAGATAATTAAGCACTTATTACTTCCGAGGCGCAAACTGGAGCAAAGAGGGAGGAATGGCTTGAGTCGGGGGAGTCAAAGCCTTGGGTTTTCCCATCCACAGCCTCCCAGGGCCAGGCATGTAGCGGGGGGGGGGGGGGGGGTTCAGCCCTCCCCCCCCCGAAATTCTCATGTGGTTCGCGAAAAGCCTTACTGGTGCATTATTTAAACTGTTATGTTTATTCATATCATGATCTGATCACCATGCTCAATATATCCCATATGCATGGGGGTATTGGGGTAACGATACAAAAGGTTTGCTAGGGTAGACCCTCTTTCACTCAGACTCAGCCCCCCCCCAACCAAACTCACCCCCCCCCAAAAAAAAACAAAATCCTGGCTACGGGCCTGCCCAGGCCCCTTCCATGGGGCTCTATATTCCAGCACCCGATCCCAGATTATCTGTCTAACCCTGATTATCTGGCAGTGGAGGCTCATATAATCCAGTTCAATCCAGACAATCTTGGTTCAGAGCCTGGGATATAGGGCAGTGTAGATCCAGACTTCCTCTGCCCGAGCAAAACGTGGGAAGCGTGGACTGCGAGCGTGGACTTCAGAGCGTGGACTTCAGAGATCCTTGAGAAGACTTCCTTCATCCTTCACACCCTGGTCATTTTCCTTGTACACTGTACAAGGCAATGGTTCAAGGCAATGGAGTCCTGGGAGCTGTAGTTTGGAAAGGCTACCGCGCACTTTGACAGAGAAGGATACAGACCTTGTGGAACTACAACTCCTGGGATTCCATAGTATCGAGCCGTGGCGATTCAAAGGGGGCCAGACTGCAGTCATTCCACAGTGCACTTAAGAAGTTAGGTGAGGCTTATGCTCTGCCCCTGGTGTGTTTCAAGGTGTGCGAGTTTTTAAAACTTGGGTGGAAATCGGGCAGGGAAACTCCACTCGAGCTGGATCAACACTGTTATAGACTACAGATTGAACTGCATTGGATGGGAAGATCCAGGTTCTTTGGGCGCTAAGGCGGACTTTTCCTCCGGCATCATGTGGACAAGGTTGCTGAAGGAGGGCGAGGAAGGCCGGCTTCCTGTGGGCAACTTCCACGCCGGAAGAAACGAGCGCTTGCCTTCTCTTGGGAGAGGCGCTCCTCTTTGCGCATCAGGAGCACGAATTGGATCAGGAGTGCAAAGGAGAGGGGAAGGAGTTAGTGTGGTTTGTGGTGTGCTTGGAGGGGAACGGACCCCCATTTCCAGTATTATCACCTTAAAATCCCCCGGGCTTGTGCATTTGCATTTATGTATTTATTTATTTCCTATGTATGTTGCCTTTCTCTCGGATTGCGACCCAAGGCGGCTTACTGAAAGGTTGAGTTTAATATTTATTTAAACACGCACATACATATAATTAAATAGCCCTAATTAAAATGGTAAATTAAAAAAACACACAATATTTTCCAAATAATTATTTTTTAAAAATTAATCTGCGGGATTAAAAGTATTTTATTTTGCTGGGCCTGAATCTGCACAAGTCGAAAGATGGGTTTTGTCAGTGGGCACAGCTACACTATGGATCAGGCCTGGGCCAACGATTGGATTGTTGTAGGTTTTTCGGACTGTATGGCCATGTCCTAGAAGCATTCTCTCCTGACGTTTCGCCTGCATCTGTGGCAAGCATCCTCAGAGGTAGTGAGGCTTGATTTAAGAGTATATAACCCATTTTTCCTAGTTCCAGCAGACCTCACAACCTCTGAGGATACCTGCCATAGATGCAGGCGAAACGTCAGGAGAGCATGCTTCTAGGACATGGCCATACAGCCCGAAAAACCTACAACAACCCAGTGATTCCGGCCGTGTAAGCCTTCGACAATTTTCCCCAAGCGGCGCAAAGCATCCCAAGGAGCCCTAATACGAGCCACCCCGACCTTTCCAAATGAAATGACACCTGAGGTTGACGGAGTCCTGCCATTGGCTTGACACCGCCGTAAGATTAAATGCGTGAGGCAATCATCTAAAATCGATCAATCTCTCACTAATATTCCACATGAGAGAACCTTCCCCCTTGCTCGGATGAATCTCCTGGTGATCCTTGAGCATGATTTGATAGGAATTCAACGAAGTGGGGCGAATGGCACAAACTCCCGTGTTTGGAAGCGCCTGGGAAGTTTTTAAAACCAGAGACGAACTTTTTCCCTCCATCGGAAGAAGCATCCTTCTCAGCTTGAAGGGAGAGCAGCTTGGCTTTTTAACAGACCTTTTGGAAAAAAGAATAATCCTTCTCGGTCAAGAATTTGGCTCAAGGTGGCCTGGGCTGATCCTTTCCTCTTGCCCGACCCACCCAACGCTTTGCAACAAATTTGCAACAAGTCTGGGGAAAAAAAACTCTCGTAGGAAACCTGAGGGCGTACCTTCACCCTCAGCGCAGTGTTTCCTAGTTTGTTGTCACTCCAATTCGTCAAACTCCCCTTCCTTGGGCTCAATAGACTTGAACTACTTGAGAGGGCGACTTGGGAGTCTAAAATGCAATTGAGGTAAACACAGGGTCGCTGTGAGTTTTCCGGGCTGTCCGGCCATGTTCCAGAAGCGTTCTCTCCTGACGTTTCGCCCACATCTATGACAGGCATCATCAGAGGTTGTGAGGTCTGTTGGAAACTAGGCAAGTGAGGTTTATATATCTGTGCAATAATGTCCAGATTACGCAAGTGAGGGTTATATGTTTGTGGAATAATGTCCAGGGTGAGAGAAAGAAGTATTTGTCCGTTTGAGATCTGTTGGAAACTAGACAAGTAAGGTTTATATATCTGTGGAATAATGTCCAGATTAGGCAAGTAGGATTTATATATCTGTGGAATAATGTCCAGGGTGGGAGAAAGAACTTCTGTCTGCTTGAGGCAAGTGTGACTGTTGCAATTGGCCACCTTGATTAGCATTGAATGGTCTAGCAGCTTCAAAGCCTGGCTGCTTCCTGCCTGGGGGAATCTTTTGTTGTGAGGCGTTAGCTGGCCCGGATTGTTTCATGTCAGGAATTTCCCTGTTTTCTGAGTGCTGTTCTTTGTTTACTATCCTGATTTTAGAGGGGTTTTTTAAATACTGGTAGCCAGTTC